TCAAAGTTTCTTTTAGGTAGAGTTTTTGTTAGAATATCTGCAATTTATTGATTCGTTGGAATGTGCATTAGAGCAATAGTTCCATATTCCAATTTTTCTTTTATAAAATGGCAGTTGATCTCCATATGTTTAGTTCTGTCATGGTGTACTGGATTTTTAGCCATACTAATAGTTGATTGTTTGTCGCACCATACTTTCATAGGCATATTGTTAATGGTTTTTAATTCTTCAAGTATCCTCTTCAACTATACACCTTCACAAATACCATGAGTAAGCGCCCTAAATTCAGATTCTGCATTGCTGCGAGATACAACTGATTGTTTCTTGCTTCTCCAGGTAATCAGGTTACCCCAAACATAGATATAATATCCTGATGTAGATCTTCTATCATCTGTAGGACTTGCCCAATCTGCATCAGTGTAAATTTCAACACCTCTTCTTTCTGTCTTCCGAAAGAACAATTCTTGTCCTAAAGTCATCTTGAGATACCTTAAAATTTGATATACAGCTCTCATGTGATCTTCAGTTGGCTGATTCATGAACTGACTTACTGTACACTCTGCAAAACTGATGTCTGGTCTTATATGTGCTAAGTAGATAAGTTTCCCAACAAGTCTCTAGTATCTTCTTTTGTCAACCATTTTATCACTGATTCTGGATCCAAGTTTGATAACTGAATTCATCAAGGTGTCAGCGGGTTTGCTTCCTAACATCCCAGTCTCCTTTAGGAGATTTAGAACGTACTTTCGTTGAAATATTGAAATCCCCTTTTTGGATCTAGTCACTTCCATATTGATGAAGTATTTCAGTACCCCAAGATCTTTTATTTCAAATTCTCTGGCCATAAATTTTTTGAATTTCTGAATCTCCTTAAGGTGATCTTCTGTAAAAATGATATCATCAACGTATACAATTAAAATAGCTTTCTTACCTGAGATACAGTGTTTGACAAACAGTGTATGATCGGATTGACATTGTTCATATCCTTCATACTTTACAGCTCTTGTGAATTTATCAAACCATGCCGTTGGAGATTGTTTTAGGCCATAGAGTGATTTTTTCAGTTAATACACTTTCTGAAAATTGTCTGTTAGTTCAAAACCTGGTGATATATTTATATATACTTCTTCTAAATCGCCATTAAGGAATGCATTCTTTACATCTAATTGACAAAGTGGCCAGTTAAGATTAGATGCAAGTGAGAGAAGTACCCGAATAGTATTGTGTTTGGCAACCGGTGCAAACGTCTCCAGATAGTCTACACCATATGATTGAGTATAGCCTTTGCCTACTAGGCGGGTCTTAAACCGATTCATACTCTCATCTGGGTTATATTTGGTTGTAAAGACCTATTTGCACCCCACTTGACGTTTTTTTGGAGGTAGATCAGTTAGCTCCCATGTCTCATTCTTTTCAAGTGCCTTGATCTTATATAGGACAACTATCTTCTATTTTGGAATTTCCGAAGCCTCATGTATTGTTCTGGGTTCTGATGAGCTGCTGTCTATCCTGCACACAAAAGTATGATATTTCGAGGACAATTTGTCCAATGAAACATAGTCCTGTATAGGATGTTTGGTGTATGTCCGTGTACCATTTCTCAAAACAATAGGAATATCAGAATCAAGAGTTGGTACAGAGATTACACTACCTGGATCAAGAGTGGATTCATAGCAGTGCTTGGATGATTCAAGTGTTTTTCCTTTGTTTCTTCTCGTATAGACACGTAACTCACTCGTTGCAGGTAATGTGTTTTCTTTAACTGGTTTTGGTTCAGGTTTCTTCTGTGAGGTTTTGGGTTCAGGTTCCAAGAAAAGTTTGTCTGATGGTGGATTTTGTGGGCATAGAGGAGGTACACTCACATCCCACAATTGATATTCCTGAGTGAATCTCGCCCCCTGAATATCAGTAGTGGGATAAAATGATTGGTTATCAAAGAATGTGACGTCCATTGCATTATAAAAACAGCGGGATTCCGAAACTAGACATTTGTATCCTTTTTATTAGTAGAGTATCCAGCAAAAATACACTTTATTGCTCTTGAGTCTAATTTTCTACGAAGATGTTTATGAATATGGACATATGCTGAATAACCAAAGACTTTAAGTGGTAAAGTGTTTAAGATGTGTGAATTGAGAAAGGTGTTTGAGAGGATAGTGTAGGGTGATTGAAACTGTAAAATACGGGAGGGCATCCAATTAATCAAATAGGTAGCTGAAAGAACAGACTCTCCCCAAAGAAATTTTGGGACATGGGTGGTGAACATGAGTGATCTGGCAACCTCAAATATATATCTATTTTTCCTTTCGGTTATGCCATTTTGCTATGGAGTATGGACACAGAAGTTTTGATGAATAATGTTATGTTTAGTAAAGTATTTTTTAATGGTAGTTTCAAAATATTTACAAGCATTGTCGGATTTCAACACTTTGATGTAGTATGAAATTGGGTTCGAATCATTGTATGAAATTTTTTAAACAGAGATCCTACTTCAGATTTTTCTTTCATGAGAAATACCTAGGTGATTCTTGTATGGTCATCAATAAAAGATACAAACCATCTAATTCCGAAAATGTTGGAAACTCTGGAAGGGTCCCATACATCACTGTGAATTAATGCAAATGATTTTGAGATTTTGTATGGCAAGTTAGGAAATGAACTTCGAGTATGTTTAGAAAATTAACATACTTCACACTGTAATGAAACTGGATCTTTTTCTTTAAATAGTAATGGGAACTTCTTTTTCAAATACATGAAATTTGGATGTCTTAGTTTATAGTGTCACAACATAATATCATGGTCATTATTTACAGAAATAGAAATAGAGTTTCCATATACTGCATTGTGAGCTTATCTTTTAGAAGTATTGACTTGAAGCAAATATAATCCTAAGCTCATCCTAGCACTGCCAATCGTTTTTCCCGAGTCCAAGTTCTGAAAATTACACATTTCAAATCTTCATATAGTTTGCTGACTGGTAATAAATTATAGTCTAAATTTGAAATATGGAGAACTGAACAGAGAGTCAAATTTGGAGACAAATTTTGCGGAACCCATTCCAGCCAATTTTGAGAGAGAACCATCTGCAATTCTGATTGAAAAATTTTCTTTACATCTTCTGTAATTTTGAAACATTAAGGCATCTCCACTCATGGTCAGATGCTCCAGAGTTTACCACCTACACCTACCTTTTTTTTTGAAAAAACAGACAAGCCAAGAATATTACCTTTGTGTGCCACAGAGTCACTGACCGGGTAAGATTTCTTGGGCATAATATGTTGGAGGGCTTCCAACTGCTCAGGAGTAAATAGGTCTTTTTCCACTGCATCAAAGGGTATTTTCTTAGCAACAACGTGATTCTCTTGATGCTTGCTGGAGTTCTCTGCCTTTGACGTCTTCCACTCACCCGAAGATGGTTTCCAGTCACTTGGTTTGCCGTAGAGTTTCCAGCAATGATCCCGAGTGTGTCCTAGCTTCTTGACAGGTGATCGCTACGAGGGTCTCAT